GTCAGCATGGAGATTGCTAGTGATCTCTGGGACCGGCAAGGTCCAATATACAGAGAAGATACTGCGGTGTTTGTGAGTCAGTCTGGTGAAACCGCAGATACACTACTTGCTTTGGACTATGCTCGGGAAAACGGTGCATTATGTGTCGGCATAACTAACACCGTTGGGAGCTCGATAGCTAGAAAAACACACTGTGGTGTTCATATAAACGCAGGAGCTGAGATTGGTGTCGCAAGTACAAAGGTAGTTTTCATGAATCTCTTAATATATATACGTGTATACTTTTCCAGATTTGGAGATTAAGAAAAACTTGTGCTTATCTCAAACACTATTAGGCATACACAAGTCAGATTGTGGTAATGGTTATGCTAGCTTTAGCAATTGGAAGTGACACAATCTCCAGCCAAAAGAGACGGGAAGCTATAATCGATGGACTACCTGATTTGCCGTGTAAGTTAAGTAAAATTAGCGAAAAAGTTGCTTGCTCTAAGCAACTTAGTGTATAATATCAGCTTTTAAGCAACTTAGTGTATAATATCATATCTAACTGCAGATAAGGTTAAGGAAGTACTAAAGCTGGACGAGGAAATGAAAGATCTCGCACAACTTTTGATAGACGAGCAGTCACTGCTTGTGTTTGGCAGAGGATACAACTACGCAACAGCTTTAGAAGGAGCATTGAAAGTAAAAGAAGTAGCACTTATGCATAGTGAAGGAATACTAGCAGGAGAAATGAAACATGGACCTTTAGCTTTAGCTGATGAGAATCTTCCCATTGCTGTGATTGCCACTCGTGATGCTTGTTTCAGCAAACAACAGTCTGTGATTCAGCAACTTCACGCACGCAAAGGGAGATTAATAGTAATGTGCTCAAAAGGTGATGCTGCATCAGTAAGCTCGAGTGGATCTTGTCGAGCAATCGAAGTACCTCAAGTTGAAGATTGTTTACAACCTGTTCTTAATATAGTACCATTACAGGTAACAAACTAATCTCTACATCAATCTATAATCTATGTGTCTTCTACAATTTTTTTGGTTTTCGACGCGTAAATAAGTTGTGATGTTTGGTTGCAGTTATTGGCTTATCATCTGACTGTTTTGAGAGGTCACAACGTTGATCAACCGAGGAATCTGGCGAAGAGTGTGACTACTCAATAGAGAGCTTAAAGGAATGATTAGCTTGTATAGTGTGACACATGCGTTTGGAGTTTTTGGAGTTTTATGTTAACCATCCTTTACTTTGCCACGCTTTTGAGTCTAAACACCAAAAACAATAGGTGTTCAACTTTTTTTTGTTTTTCTTTTTTCAAGTGATTAATTTTTGTTTCTAATCTATATAGTAGTACTCATGGGCAAATTAATCGAACCGAAAGTATCAAACAAGAACTAACCGAAACGTAACCGAAATTTTAAAATATTCGAATGGATCATAAACTCTAAAACCGAAAAAACCGGAATGGATCTGGACTGAACCAAAATTAAATATTTTGGGTATTTGAAAATATCTGAAATATAATTATATATCTAAAATTTAGTCACTTTTAGAATAAATTACCGAAAATATCCGCAATATAAAAAAATCCAAAAAAAATCTAAAAATATTCAAAATAGTCAAATATATCTGAAATATCTTAAATAAATATTTAAAAATATTCAAAAATATCCGAAAATACCCAAAAATACTCAAAATACCATAAATACTGGAAAATACAAAAAATAATACTCGAATGGATCCTTCGGACCCAAAAGAAATACTCGAATGAATCATAAGCTCCAGAACTAAAAAAACTGGAATCGACCGATTTTCCTTCGGTTCCTATATGAACCCTAAAGCCAAGAACCAAAAGAACTAAAAACCGAAAGAATTGAACTGAACCAAACCGAATATCCGAGTGACTATAAGACCAAATCTAAACTTTAATATCGAACCGGCATTAACGAAAACATGTCTAAGGTGTTATGATCGCCAAATAATAGTTCTGTCTAATTTGTGAGAATACAATAAAGTAGGGGGTCATTTGCGAAACTTTTATAAATTACGACATATAAATAAGAGAAAGACTTTACAGTTTGTAATGTATCGCAAAAACCCTAGCAAGATGGGGCGGCTGAAATTGATTCCAGATGATGACGACGACTCACAGAAGAAAGGCTCCGATTGTTTCGAGGTCGATTTGGAGTACGGTGAGAGGTTACTGCACAATCAGAAGCGCAAGGATCTCCAGAAATACGATGAGCTGAAGGATAGAGGTATCATCAACGATGACGAAGGTTCCGAGTCAGAGGAGGAGGAATCAGATTCTGAGCCAGATGATGATTTAGGAGATCCAAAAAACGATGTCAAATTCATCGATGTTTTGCTTAAGGTAAAGAAAAAGGATCCTTTGATTAAGAACAAAGATGTTAACTTCTATGAGAGTGATGAAGAAGATGAGGCTAAGGAGAAGAAGGTGAAGAAGAAGAAGAAGAAGAAGAAGATGTATTTGAAAGATGTTCAGGCACAGCAATTGATTGAAGAAGGTCCTGAGTTTGTTGAGGAAGATGAGGAGAGGAGGAAGATTAAGAGTTACGCTGAGAGGCAAGAGGAATTGAGGAAAGCTGTAACTGATGTTTTGGAAGAGGAGAGTGATGAAGATGGTGAAGATTTATTGAGAGTTGCGGAGAAGGAAGGAGATGATGATGTGGAGGAGGAGCTAGCTAAGAAAATTGATGAGTATTTCGGTGAAGAACGTGAAGTGTTTGAGAATCAGTTTTTGAAAGATTACTTGGTGAAACAGTTGTGGAAGGAGAAAGATGAGAAGATTGTAATAGATGAAGAAGATTTGAAGGAGTTGGATGAAGATGAGGAAGCTGTTGAGAAGCAAGAGGATTATGAGACTACCTATAGACATGAAGAGAATGCTGGGGAGATTGTTATGGGTCAGTCTAGGGTTGTGGAAGGGTCGGTGAGGAAGAAGGATAATGCGAGGAAGGCGCAGAGGAAGAGTAAAGAGGAGAGGATGAAGATGGCTGAGATTGAGAGGCAAGAGGATTTGAAGCGGTTGAAGAATGTTAAGAAGAAGGAGATGAAGGAGAGGATGAAGAAAGTGCTTTCTATTGCTGGTTTTAAGGATGGTGAAGAATGTCCTTTGGATGCGAAAGACTTGGATGATGAGTTTGATCCTGAGGAGTATGATATGATGATGAAAGCTGCGTTTGATGATGATTACTATGGTGCGGAGGATTCAGATTTGAATAGTGATGAGGATGATGGTGAGAAACCAGACTTTGACAAGGAGGATGAATTGCTTGGACTTCCCAAAGATTGGGGTGTGATTCAAGGTGGGGATGGTTTTATATCTGCTAGAGAAAAGGTTTTGAAGCATATGGAGAATGGTGCTGGTGATGAAGAAGAAGAAGAAGAAGAAGAAGAAGAAGAAGTAGAAGAAGAAGAAGAAGTCGATGAGGAGAAGGAAGTGGAGGGTAAGAGGAAGAGAAAGCGGAAAACATCTCTTGTACAAAGAGCCAAGGAAGCTATGTTGGAGGAGTACTACAAGCTAGACTATGAGGATACAATTGGAGATTTGAAAACAAGGTTTAAGTATGCGAAAGTACAACCAAGCAAATTCGCCCTGGATACAGGAGAGATACTCTTCTTAGATGACACAGAGCTGAATCAGTACGTACCATTGAAGAAGATGGCTCCTTATGTGGAAAAGGATTGGGAGGTGAATAGACACAAGGTCAAGGAGCAGAAACTTAAGATCCAGGAGTTGTTGCAGGGTGAACGCCATGAAAAGAAAAGCAAGAAGAGGAAGAAGAACGATGTTGTTGAGGAAACGAAACCAACACAGAAAGCAGATGAGGAAGGCGAAGCTGAGACGAAGCTATCGAAAAAGGCAAAGAGAAGAAGGCGTCGAGCAGAGAAGAAGCTTCCTCCTAATAGAATGGCTGCTTATGGAAAGGCGTAATGAAGATGGAGTTAGAGAATCAGATACAGCCATTTCTTTTCGTTTTTTAAGCTTTGAACTTTTTATTTATCAATTTTGAGTTTTCATATTAATCAATGAGATCACCAAAAGTGGTTATCATATTTATCAATTATAAACAGATTCGTTTTGTTTCGTTGTTCTTCAGTGTTTTGAATTAGTATCTGTTGAGAATGTTTGATTCCCATTCTCATCTTACTCGAGTTGGATAATGCTTAGGCAGTGAAGCATAGGCTTGGATACAATCTCTGTGTTTTGGAAGTAAAGGTAGAGACTCTTGTCGTTCAGAAGGTTTCAAACCAAACAAAGATGAAACAAAACAAACTACTTTCATTACTTAATATTGTTCACAACATCAAAGCAAAGAGTTTGCAGAAGAAACTTAAGTCCTAAAGAGATAGATAAACAGCAAGACCAGAGTAACAGACCATACTCCATACTGTTTCTACACTAACCCGACTACCCGACATACACCAAACTGCTATCAGCATTTCTGATATTACGATCTCGTCTCCACTGAGAACAAGACTATTACAAAACCTAGAAACCAACCGAAAAACCTCCATTGCATCCATAGCCAACCTAGGTAGTACCCTTCTATACATACTGTTCCGATCCATTTGCCTTTCAGATAACCAAAACTGTCAGGAAATGTGTATGACTCAGAGCCCTAACAGTTCTAACTTTCATAGGATCATTCTTCTTCAAGTGGTTTGAGGTTAACCCCCACACCCTCAGATTGCACCAGCGTAACATTACCTTCCTCAACGCCATCAAGACCTCCCTGCTCACCATCCCCATTAGGCAAGTCCTGAACCGCATCAGCGCTTCCTTTAAGCCGCTTCTCCACAATATCATCCTCCTGATCCCCTGCATCAAACTTCCTTTTCGACCCCTCAGGCGAAGTTCCAACCTTCACCTGCGTAACATTACCATCCTCAACGCCATCAAGACCTTTTTGCTCACCAACCCCATCAGGCAAGCCCTGAACCGCATCAGCAGAAGCATCCGCCGGATCAATCTGCTCCAATAAACCCAAAGACCTTCCACCTTCACCATTTTTCTCACCAGAACCATCAACGCTAGAATCAAGAGGCGGTGGTGAAAGAGCACGATCATAAGGATCAGGAACATCAACCCAAACACGCGAACAAGACCTAGCGAGATGATTCAAACCACCACAATTACGATAAAACTTGAAACTAACTTTACTCCAAGCAATATCCTCATACCTCAAACTCACAATCCTAACCTCACCAGAACCAAACCTAACCACTTTCTTAAAACACAAACGAGTATCCACAGAAACGTTCACACGAACACGCACAAAACGAAAATCAAATTTCACATCATCCAATTCAACCTCCATTATTTCCCCCATAGACGAAGCAATCTCACGAACCGTTCCTTCACAAAGATACCGAATCGGAATTCCACGAATCCTCAACCACATAGGAACCGAATTCAAGAAATCAGGACCTTGTTCGTCTTCCCACTTCTGTAACAAAACGAGCCATCCGTTAAACGAATAAGGACCAGACCAAAGAACCATTTCCAAATCGCGTTCTTCGTCGAACACGAATTGAAACTTCCCTCCGCCGATTATGCGGCCGTGACATTTAGATCCGTCGATATTCCATTTAGATTGAGTCTACTGATCACTGAGTAGAGATCTTGTCTTCTAGGGCTTAGAACTCGACCGACCAAGCTTTTGCGATTGTACTCAGTGGCTTCAGCGTAAGCGGTTTCTGGAACTGCGATTGGTTGATCTGCTAAACCTAAAGCGAGATATCTTGGTGCTCTTCGTTGATTGTTCAAAGCCATTGTCGTCGCCGGTGAAACGGTTTATCAGAAACGGCGTTGTCGCACCGATCGTTTCAAGAGAGTTCACCTCTTGTGCCACTAATCGAGAACCGGTAACCTCTTATGCCACTCTTATGTTTTCTTTTTATTATCGAATTAATTTTAAATCGAGAAAGTGAGTAAATTACATAAAACCCAGACGAAATAAGTATATTACAACCCAACCAAATAATCCGAACCCAGTCCATAAGAAAATAACCCGGCCCATACAAAATTCCCAAATTTACCCTAATTCTGAAAATTTCTCTAAGTAAAACTCAAAACCGTAAAAATCGCTTTCACTACTCTTCTCTCCGTCTCCAAGTTCTCTCTGTACTCTCGCGAATCTCCGTCGCTTCTTTTCCGTTTTCGTTGTCTCCGGAGTATCGTCGTCTCCGCCGTCTTCTTCTAGCGTGGGAACTTCGTACTCCATCATTCGTCTCCTCCGTCTCCTCCTCGGTGGTTTGTCTTTTCGTCTCCTCCGACTCCGTTCATCGTGTCTTCGTCTCGTTCTTATATGGCTCGCGTGAAAGGTGGAGATAACAGGGTATATGAATCAACAGAAGGGTCTCGAGAAGGGGCTGCAAATCCAGATCCAACAGAAGCTTCGACGGACGCTTCAGTTCCAACAGAAGCTTCGACGGACGCCGCAGTTCCAAAAGATGCTCCGACGGATGACGCTTATCCAACAGAAGCTCCAATGGATGCCGCTGTAATTGGTCCAACAGTGGAATCCGCAGAAGCAACCACCGAATTAGTAGTTTTTTCGGTTTCGGAATTGTCTGATAAAGAAGAGAAAGAAGAAGTCGGTGAGCATGATAAAGAAGTCCGTGAGTTGTCAATTGATGGTCAGGGTTGTGATAACGAGGAAAAAGAGAGAGTTGTTGATTCTGAGGGTGAAGATGTTGCTGGTGATAATGAGGAGGAAGATGTTGCTGGTGTTGTGAAGGTAAGTAACAGTTTGTATTTGTTGTATATGGTGTTAAAGGTAAGCAACAGACATAGTTGTACTCAGTTGTATGTGTTTGAATATGCAGAATATAGTTGATGATATTGCTGTTGAGGAAGAGGAAGAGGAGAGGGTTAATGATGTTGCAGCTGATACATATGAGGATGATGATGATGATGAGGAATCCCAACCACTGCCGCCAGAGAGCATGTACTTTAGTCCAACTGAGTACAACAAGGTATGTAAGGTAGGTAGTAGGTGTAAAGTTGGCCAAACAGTGGCCATGATAGAGGAATTTGATGAGGAAGTTAGTTGGTTTAGGAATCATGCTCAGTTTAAGCATATATTCCACATGCCTAAGGAACCAAATCACATGATTCAAGGCATGTGGATGCTTATGCTTCGCACTGCTCGCACGGGTATGGAGAATGAGTGTTGGTTTGTTGTGAATGGAGTGCCTATAAGGTACTCCTTGAAAGAGCATGCTTTGTTGACCAGGTTGGACTGCCATGAGTACCCAAAGAATCATGAGAAGAAGGGTAGTTTGAGGTTTATCAGGAGGATGTTTGGGAGGACAGACCTAATCAAAATCAAAGATGTAGAAAAGAAGTTGGCAGCTATTAAGAGTGAGAAGTGTTTGGATAGGAAGAAGTTGATTATTTTGTTGTTTTTATGTGCGGTTGTGAAGGCTGATTCTAAGGATGATGGGAACATAGAGCAATTCCTGTTAAGGATTGTTGATGATGTTCATGCTTGTGAGATATTCCCGTGGGGAAGGTATTCTTTTGAGTAATGTATGACAGGGATCCGGAGAATGATGAAAAACATGAAAGGTGAGGTGAAACCAAAAGCACAGAGCAGCTTTTTTGGATTCATCACTCCTCTTGAGGTAAAAACTTGTGAATATTGTAATGAGTTAGAGTGTTTAAGTTATAGTAGTAAAACTGTGTTATTGTGAATGTGTAGATTTTTGCATTTGAGTGCATACCACAGCTTGGAAGGCGATTCAGAGAAGCTGTTCCCGCAGCTAATGACTGTCCAAGAATGTGCAAATCTAAATTAACTGACAGTTGCATGAAGGGCTTTACCTTGGATGAAATAAACCAAGCCCTTGGTGAAATTAAGGTTAGCTTTTGGTGCCTTTACTTCTCTTAGTATGCATATGTATTGAGATTGATGCTATGTGTATTTGACAGGATATCTCAAGCATCTTGGAACCTGATATGGATGAGAAAGAGATGTTGTCTGGCCTTGTTGAGAAATATGTTGATGAAGGGATGGGATTTATTGATCCAGTTGTTGAAGGTTGGAGAGAGCAGCTGATCACAAAGAAGAAGAAAATCTGGTGGAAAAGTCTATACCAGATGGACTTGCAGGCTCGGGGTTTTGGTGATGTTGTCCCTGAAGTGGCTGAGAGGCTTGGTGATGTTAAAGAAAGAGATGGTGAAGTCTCGGAGAGGCTTGGTGATATCCTCTCATTACAGTCAGCTGTGGACAAAGGATTTGCGAAGATCATGGAGAAGTTTGCTGAGATGGACAGCAAAGTGAGTATGCTGGATGGGAGAGTGAAAGAATTAGAGGGTTATGTGGCAATCCAGCTAGAGAAAGAGCGGTACAATGAGTATCATCCAGGGACTTCAAGTGATTTTGTGCCAACCTATTGTACACCAACTGCTAATCAACCAATAGCGAGTCCGACAAAGGCTTTGGTCCTTCACAGTGGTTTAACAGACCCTAAGCCAATCCAGATTGAAGAATTGAGTGAGTTTACATTTTTGTAGTTTTTATTGAAACATACATGTTCTAACATTTGAGTTGTGTAGGTGATGAAGGTGATCAGGAGTAGCTGGCTAGGAAAGAGAAGGAGAACCTGAAGAAGAAGAGACAGCGTGGCCCTACAATCCAGACCGGGCAAAAGAGACAAAGGAAGCCTTCCAGGTTTAAGGCTAAAGAGTTTACAGCAGAGGGGAAGGGGAAGGGGAAGAAGAGGCAGAAGAAATAGGTGATCTTTATGATGGGTTGTATTTGTGTAGGACAAAACTTATCTTTTTGAGTATTTTGCGGTTATCTTTTATTAGGATTAAAAAGCATTGTACTATCTTTTGGTTGTGTTGTGGTTTAGGCGCATTTTATGTATTTGGGGTTTAGGATGAATCAGACATTATATTTTTAAAAATTATGCATCTGGTCCAACTACTAACAAACGTGGGACAACTATTAACACAAGTTGGACAACAGGGACAACTACTAATAATCCAGGGACAACTATGTGATAAACCAAGGACAACTACTATTAAAATAAATTTTAAATTTTAGTTGGACCAGTTGATCCAGGGAAAACTACTAATAATTCAGGGACAACTATGTGATAAACCAAGGACAACTACTATTAAAATAAATTTTAAATTTTAGTTGGACCAGTTGATCCAGGGACAACTACTAATAATTCAGGGACAACTATATTATAAACCTGGGACAACTACTATTAAAAATACTTAGTAAATACATATAAGTCGGAGTTGTACCGGTTGGACCAAGTACAACTACCATTACTGCAGGTACAACTACTAATAAGACTTCATGAAAACACAATTCCATATCCAAAATACAAATTCAAATATTACAAAGACTAGGTGGTAATCAATTACTATTACCACCTTGAAAGTAACCCCCTAAGCCTCGCAATCTCGACTTCTTTTGTGGCTAACCTCTCTTTAGGTCATCAATTTCTTCAGGCATAAGACGAAGAGTTTCCCGGATCGACTCCAAAGCAGGATTTCCACCCCTACCATATTCAAGAGAGGTTAACACGTCATCTTTATGTCTGTCAAATAGGTGGTGTATCTTGGACAGCTCCTCAGTTACCGCCCAATCCCACCACTGAACTAGGTGATCTCGATTATCCTTATATTCGTCTCCATCCTAGGAAGAATATAAATAGTTAAAATCAGCAAGTTGTACTTAGTTGTTCCAGAATTGCAACTAAACCATACCTTAAGCACTGGGCATCTGTATACGCGCTCTCCTTGGCGCTGTCCTGTTAGACATCGCTCAAGTTTGACCATCTCACCACAGAAACACCCCTCGGGAACACCATAATTGGCATCTGCATTACATTCTCCACTGTTGATACTTGCTACGGATGTGGAGGGCTAGGAGTAACTATAAGGCATATCTACGGTTTAGAAGATGAGTAGTTCTGACCATTCAATCAAACATAAATCAATTAAATCTTAGAAATTCCTAATTATTAGAAAGCAGATCTATTAAATTGAAGTAGTCTAAGAGAATTGCCATACCTTATAACGGCGAGAGAAGGAAGAAGAAGAATAGATCTGAAAACCCTAATTTTTGGGTTTCTCGTTTTCAATGACAGAAGTAGAAGAGAGAAGACGAAGAAGAGAAAGAAGAAGAGAGAAGCGAGATGTGAGAGAATTACCCAGATTTTGCAAAATTTGAAGAAATCTGAAAACCCTAATTGTTGGTGGTCTCGTGAAGAAGAGAGAAGAAGAAGAGAGAAAAGAAAAAGAGAGAAAATAGTCGGAGTGGAGATGTGAGAGAGAGAGAGAGAGAGTAGACTTAGTAGATGATAAGAGAGAATTCGAATTAAAGTAGATCATGGGGTGGGCCTGGTTTGAGTCAATAACTAGTCAAAGACTAGTGTGAACACATTTATGTGGGACTCCCGACAAATAAATTTTCTACATAGTTGTCTTTAAATGTTCACACTACAAGAAATATCTACATTATTAGCATGAGAGAAGAGCTATAATATGTCATTAATAGCGTTTTCATAAACACTGTTTCTGCCCCAGTTATTATAGACCCCCCACATACGATAGCGGTTTTTGATATGCTATGAAATATCGATCTATTATAGTGCTAATCGAATGCTATTATATACTTTATTGTTAGGTTTTGTAATAGAAGGGAAAGTTTTATTGGCTTAAAAATTTTTGGATCTGAAACATATGGAGGTTAAGTGAATTTTTTCGTCTAAGTATTGGCGGAATAAGTGTTTTCATCTTCACGCTTATTGATTTTCTATCTTAACGTTGTCTCGGTGCTATGATATAGTAATCAAAATAAAAAAAATTATCTTTCATAACAGTTACGATAAATGAGCTATGCTTAGATGCTATCAATGTGGATATTTCTTGTAGTGTCAGTTGTCCTAATTTCCTCACAGTTGAACTATTTCTAATTTTGTAATTTTATAGTTGAACCTTAAAAAATACCATAGTTATCTAGTTGTTCACATCAATTTCCACATTATATTGGTGTTTAAGAAGTTTTCATAGAATAATTTGTCAGAAAACATAGTTTCCATACTTAAACCATCTTTATAGATGATCTTGAACTAATAGTTCCTTGTTACCTAAAGAGTGATTTGTGTAATTTTGGTTTTTGCTCACATTAATTATTGATAATGTTACATATCATATATTAAAAATATTAAATGTACTTTCAGAGTTTAAAAATGTTTTAAATCACTAATTATGGTTTAATTTATGTAATTTTGTATTTTTTGTAGGTTTAGTTGTTTCCAGTTGTATCGGTTGTACCCATAAACTATTCTTCCTAATATTGCAAAGAAATAAAATAGTTAAACAAATAATAATCCATATATTACAAAGCGATATTAGTCTTACAAATAAAAATACAAGTACAAAGTTGTTTAAGTTGTTCCGGTTGAACCCAAATGGTTACACAGTTGTTCCGGTTGAACCCAAATGGTCCAGTTGTTCCAGTTGAACCTAAGTGGTAAAACAGTTGTACCGGCTGTACCGGCTGTACCAGAGAATTAATCAAGTTGCTTCTGGATCCTCGGGCTGCAGCCATCTCTCCAAGTTAATTCCTGGAACAGCTTTGTTACTCTTTCTCCGTTTTTCTCCAACGGATGGAAACCGTTTATCTTGATTTCGTCCTTTTTTTGGGGTGTATTCCGGCGGGTCAGCCTCCAAATCTTTAATTGGCTCGGGAATAATCCATTCTGACTCATGTGGCACTACAAACAACGTCCTGTAATATGCCAATGCCCAAGTATCTATCAAATAAAAGACGGAGCAGAGTCCATATATGCTTACATCTGCAGCTCTCCCTTCCTTGCGGGCTAGGAACCTTGCTGCGGCAATGGCATGGACACACGGGTACTTGTCTATATCAAAAGTCTTGCAAGAACAAGTTTTCATTTTCAAATCCACCAAAAAGCTTACCGAATGGAGATCAATGACGTTGTATTCTTGTCTATAACTGTTAAGCTCAACAACTTTTAACTTCGCAGCAACTGGACATCGAGCATGCAAGATGTTTTCCACAAAAGGCACAACTTGTGATGTGCTCGATGCATTACATGAATCTTGCCTATGTATGTTAAACCATTCAGAGAACTTCTCAACAAGGGCATCAATCATAGGTAAGAGGTCATACGTCCTCGCTTTCCTAAACACAGCGTTCATTGACTCCGCAACATTGCTAGTGTCTATGTTGTACTTGTCTCCTTGGAAATGGCTCCTGGACCACTGCTCTCTCTCTATAGTTTTATCTAGATAGTCAGTAGCATTAGACCACCGACTCCTAAAAATACCATATTCTCTATTGAACTCACTCTCAGTATAAGCATGAGCGCAATCCATGAACTTCTTCGCAGCTCCCTCCTTATCAATCTTCGCACGGAGTCTCAGATTTTGAGACAAATGCCATATACAGTGTACATGATGCGCATTCGGGTACACCGTCATGACAGCCTTCTTGATGCTTTGATGCCTGTCACTAATAAACACCAAATCAGGAACTTCTGGATATACAGTTTTCAGCTTCTGGAAAAACCATATCCAACTATCATCCTTCTCCGCATCAATCACACCAAATACAAGAGGGTAATGGTGATGATTAGGATCATGAGCTGTTGCAATAACCAACATCCCACCATATACAGTTTTGAGATGAGTTGCATCCACAATTATCACTTTCCGCATTGCCCTGAAGCCTTCAATGCTAGCGCCCAAAGCTATGAATAGGTACTTGAACTTCTTCTCTTCCAACTCCACACTTGTTACAGTCCCTCTATTTACCTTCTCTAACATGTAAAGATAAGAAAACAACATTTTGTAGCTTTTTTCCGGTCCACCTCTCACTTCACTAACATGCTGCATTTTCCCTCTTAATGCAGTGGAGTATGAACAATGCACACCAAGTCTTCCTGTCACAATAGACATGATGCTTTTTGGATTTGGGGTCTGTAGATTACCTGGAAAGTCAGCATGCAAAACAGCTGCTATTACGTCCTCATCATCTACAATATATGTCTCTCTCCGAGCTTTAGATAGATTGTAACTCAGTTTCAGATTCCCAGGGACTCCATTCTGGCCAACCTTCGTAGTGATCTTATCTAATAGCACTGAATAAGTTATCTTCTCTAAACATGCCGTCTTAAACGATATAGCGTATAGTGAATTTTTATAAATCCACTCATTCCCTTCTGAATAGTACCCTCCATAGTCAAAATGTACGTTAGTATGGCTCTTCTTCTTCATCGCCTCCTGAAATTACAACAATTTAAAACATAATTACAAACACAATTTGTCACAGTTATACTAGTTGTACCAGTTAGCCTACATACTATCGGTTGTACCAGCTGGCCTATACTCTAACAGTTGTACTAGTTGACTATGGAGGGTACTATCCTGAAAATACAACAATTAAAAACAGCACAAATCTACACCATTTTTCACAGTTATACTAGTTGTACCGGTTGGCCTACATACTATCAATTGTATCAGTTGGCCTACATTCTACCAGTTGAACCAGTTGGCCTACATACTAACAGATGAACCAGTTGACTATGGACTACTATCCTGAAAATACAACAATTAAAAACAGCACATACACCATTTCTCACAGTTATACTAGTTGTACCAGTTGGCCTACATACTATCAGTTGTACCGGTTGGCCTAAATATTATCAGTTGTACTAGTTGGCCTACATAATAACAGTTGAACCAGTTTTCATAGTTGTCCCAGTTGACTGAGATCTGACTCGATTCTACATAAAATGTGACTCGATTCAACAATGGACGAGCTACATTCGTTTAATAACCAATGCAAATGCCAACATTCCTCAATATGCTATCGATTCTCTCGATTAATCGAAAAAAACCCAATTCTCTTTCAAATCCCTAATTTTAAAGAATTCCAAAATACTCATAAATTACCTAAAATTCTATCAATACAGCAATGTCAAGAGGATATATGAGAAAAAACTAACCGATTTCGAAAAGGACGACGACGGGAGCTGTGGAGTTCGTACTTGCAGATCGGCGGGAGCTGTGGAGTTCGGAGCTGTGGCGGAGGATTGGAGGATTGTCGGGTTCGGAGGAGAGAGAGAGGAGAGAGAGTAGGACGAGAGAGAGAGAGATAAACGTTTTTCATTTCTTTTTTGATTTTTTTTTTCTTCTTTCATTAAGGGCAAATTCGTCAGTTCACAATATCGGTGGCATGCAGATTATTCAGTGGCATGCCAGATCATTTTTTCCCAAAAAGTGGCATAAGTGATAAAAATTCTCGTTTCAAAGGGAGAAGCCCTAGAAGAAATGAGTGATGATTGATGAGTATTTATATTTACAGTTTTTACTTTTTTACCTTGCAAACATGTTGCGGTAAAACCGATTCTTTAACCGCCGACCAAAAAAAAACCGACTCTTTAACCATTCACGATATAATGCTACAATGTATTCATATTGGGAGAATATATTTTTAAGGATATTGGAATTAGATTGTGTTGATTTTATAAATTGTAGTTTGTTTGGCATGTAATTCAGAAATGAATACTAAACATTTTTGAAAAATCGTCGAAGTTATAAATTGGATAGTTTGATCTTAGGTTAGGCCAACGGTGAACTTCCTTTCCGCGGAAAGATATAAAAATGATAGGTTTTGAATTTCGACTGTTTGTACATTGTGCTATTAGTTAGTGGTAACTATTAGATTTAGATGTGGATTAACTTCGTTTAAAGAATATCTAATTGAAGTCTTTAATTGTTATGATCACAACATCATATTGAGTCATTTGTCGAATTGTGAACGAAACTTAATCAAAATCTTATGGAAAAACCAATCACAATCAGAACAATGCCTTTTGTTCGTAGCTAGTGTAGAAGCCAAGAAAACACATAGTTGCCGAAAAATATCTAAAGCTTAGAGCGCGAAAACAGAGGAAAGAGATTTATAGCGAATTACGCGTATGCGATCTTTTAGCCTCTCAACCAAATCAAGTTTTTCGATAAGAGCTCTATTTCAAGCCAGTGTTAGACATACTATTCTGCAGACCTTTTTTTTTTTTAAGAATGTAAAATTATATTCCAACAAAAAACTGTTTTACAACAAATGCTTCATTATGAGCTGAATGTTCTGAATAGATAAATTGTTACATTAATGCCAAAAGAATTATGGATGTGTGAGGAACCAGGACTGGAGTCCCCCTAAGTATCCATTCTTAAGAATAGTAGCTTACAGTTTTTGTATCTTGTGGAGCCAGTGCACAGAGAGAGAGAAATGGATTGGGGGATGTTATCACTTACTACCTAACCCACCAAAGCAATACTGATTTAGTACTAAAGTCTCAAGAACTTCAAAACATTTTGAATTCTCACATAACCGGAAACAAATGAAGGAGGTTTCAGAATTCAATTGAGAAATCTTATACAGATTTCAAACCACGTGCCTAATGTAGTCTTCCCTGAGGCATAACAATAAACCCTCACAGTGATATTACTCGAGTGATGACGAGGTCATCTTGATCGTTTAAGCTAATAAGATTAAGAGAAATTAATATATTAGTCATTAGAAAAAAATTAAGATAGTAGTTTTATAGACATTAGTGAAATTAGCACTACAAAAGATAAAGAGGAAAAATAAAAACTAATGATACCTAATATATACTACTAATATTTAGTTTTCATTTCTTTTCTATAACAATAATATATGGTGTTCCATATATTCACATAACCAATTATAAGAAAAAAATTTATATAGAGTTTCGAAATTTGTTTCCTTTATTTTGCTACTTTGTAGATTTTTATTTTATATTTTTCATATATGGTTCTGCCAAGTGTTATCTTTAATCATTTCCGACATATTATTTAGCAAAATAGTTAATACGTTTCCAGATTCGTTTTTTCTTAATAAAAGTTTAACAATATGATTTATTACTAATTAACTAATTCTTTAATGTCTAATATGCTGAGAAAACTATGATTAATTAAAACATATGAAAAATCTAGTTTATTATTGTATAATATATATACACACATTATCGTCATTAAACACAAAAAATAAAAACTGCACATAGCATTATTTGTAAGAAAAATAAAATAAAAAACATGAAGAAGACTCCAAAAATAATCCTTCTTCTGCTTATGCTTATTATCACCTCCTTAACAATCATGATCACGTTAATGCTTCAACCACAAACTATGTTACTTGGAGAGGAATACGACGTGCGTGTGATCAACAACTTCAGAGACAACTCGTCTCTCCCTCTAGTGATCTGGTGCACTTCGCCCCAAGGAGATCTCGGTGGTCGTGCACTTCAAGAAGGAGACGACTTCGAATGGACGGTCAAGATCGATTTGTGGTCGGCAGAGTACACATGTACAATGAAGTGGAATACAAAGAGGAAGAGGTTCGAGGCGTTTAAGGTTTCTAGAGACAGCAATAGATGTGGATCTACTAAGAAGTGTTCTTGGTCCGTTAGAGAAGATGGTTTTTATTTTAGTAATGATGAGGTTTATTGGACCAAGGATTTTTCTTGGTTATAAGCTTTTTTTCTTGTACTCTTGCTTAATGCTTATGTACAAATATATAGGCCGCTTTAGATTTTTCTCAAAGCGAACAACCAAAATCGATCATATACGTTTGAGGATAGTTGCGAGAGAACCAATCAAATTCTTAATCACTTCAGATGTAATTTAGACTTTAGACGTTACGTACTCGTTAGCGCAAACTAGACATCAAATACTAATACAAACTTTGATTTTACTATGTTATCACATATTTTATCCACTTCATTGAATTTTCAAGGAATATATGTCACAAATCACTAAAGAAGTAAAGTTTATTTAGATGAAATATTGAACGTACCTTTTTTTTTTTTTTTTTTTGATAACCCAGTATCCAGACCACACAGTGATCTGACTAGCCCACTGGGCCTAAGCCTGCGTCACAGGGATTTTTAAGCCTCCACTTAAGGGCCCCCTGATAAACAGGTGGTCTGGGGCGCCTGAGCAAGTCCGCAGGTAAATTCCCAGGTGGCCACAAGAGTGAGAGAGCGAAACTGCGTCTGGGGAGGATCGATCCCTGGCCTAGACCAACAGGGCGATCCTTCCAACCAAACGAGAACCACTCGCCCACCACCATGTACGTTTTCTAGTTTTGTTATAGATTTAATGGCATCTAAATATCTAACATTAAGTAAGTGGTCTAGTTTCATCTAAATTATCATGATCGTTATGGTTAGCTCAAGCGAGATAGGATTTGATTTGGCGTACGTGCATTAGGATTTAATTATCGTGTTCTTTGTCCATTATGCTCTTTTTTCTTTTTTCATAAAAACCAATATATTGAACATAGAAAGAATTATTGAAAAGGGAAAATATATGAAAAGATCATTAATCTAGCCAAAAATATTGTAACTAAAAGCAAGTAATAAGAAATCTCCTTGAAAATGATTGTACGTTTTTGTTGGTGTCGGATCTCGCACCAGTAGCCCGGGACCAACCAAAGATTGTCACGTAGTCAAGACAAAGGCCCACAAAGGATAAGGCCCATGTACATAAGTTAAGAGTGCGGTCGAGGTGGTGACACCACAAGGAGAGTTCGGTGTGAATGCACCTCGATACAAGTCTGGAGTCGAAGTCGCAGTTAAGTCGGTTCAAGGCTATTTGGACTGAGAGACGAGGCCCATGAAGGTCGGAATCAATTCAAATTCGAACGTTGAATATTAAAGTCAAAGATTGAAACGGACGCATTTAAGAGAGAATAATTGTATTTAATTAGGAGTTAAATATCATTTGTGAGTATAAATATAAGGGCCAATGGCCATGTAAGTGGGGGCTCTCTCGTCTTCAAAAAAATATACAATAGCATTTTCCTAATTCATAGTTTCTACACAACAACTTTTGTATTCAAGAATATTCGTTCTCATTAAATAAATAAATACTTGAGTGTGTGAATTCGACATCCACATTTTGGCGCCGTCTGTGGGGACGGAAGATTCTTGAGCAGTCAGATTTCTTTCACTACATTTCCGAGGTAAGCAGCAATGTCCAGAGGAGACATCCCTGATGCATCATTGGCCGAAACTCTCAAAGCCATGCAGCAAACCATGTCAGAAATGTCTCAGAAGTTCTCGAATGTGGAGAAGGCGGTTGACTCGTTACAAACAACCCAGGTATCTCTTAGCCAAAACGTCAGTACTATTCAATCTCGTGTTCGCTCTTTAAGTGCAGGAAAACACCCTGGAGTCCGAAGAAGAATGTTCAATTCGCCAAGCTCCCTTGCGCGAAATGAAACCAGCGAACATGTAACTCCCGATGCCGCCAATACAGTATATCAGCCGGTGGACGGAGGGACGCAACTCGAAGACGAAGATCAACTTGCAGAACAGTACGAGCAACAAAGCCTTGACCAGTTCGAGACTATGAAAAAGGTTAGCCAAGAACTAAAGGAAATGAAGTCAAAGTTCCATCAGGCCACTAGTTCAGAACCAGATATCAATCGAGTCATTGAAGAAGCTAGGCGAACACCTTTTATCTCGCGAATTGCAAGTTTGAGAATCAAAGATTCTCGGAAGCTCAAATCGGAGCCCTATAGTGGATTAGAAGATCCCAAAAGTTATCTCGCAGCCTTTTTGATTGCCGCTGGACGAGTCGAATTGGATGAAGCTGATGAAGATGCGGGGTACTGCAAACTCTTTTCGGAAAATCTTTGCGGCCAAGCATTAATGTGGTTTACCCAGTTAGAGCCAGGGTCAATCAGCAATTTTGATGATTTGTCAGCTGTTTTCTTGAAACAATATTCTATCCTTATGGATAGAAGTGTTTCGGACGCTGACCTTTGGAACCTATCACAAGGGTCGAATGAGTCACTTCGAGTTTTCATCACCAAATTCAAGGGGGTACTGTCGAAGCTCCCAAGAATTTCACAACAGTCAGCTTTATCTGCCCTACGAAAAGGTTTGAGGCAAGATTCAAGGTTCAAAGAGGATCTAATACTTCATAAACCGGACACAATTCAAGACGCACTTTTCCGCACAAACAATTGGATGGAAGTAGAAGATGAAAAAGAAAATTTCGCCAAAAGGAATAAACAAGAAAAACCGGCGGTCACTTTTCCTACCAAGAAGTTTGAGCCCAGGGAAAACAAAGGACCAAGAAGGTTTGGGTCACAGCCTTTCAACAATATCGTCGGAAAAAAATTCCAAGGAAAAGGAAAGTCGAACACGTAGTGTGGATGTCGGATTCACACACTCAAGTATTTTATTAAGTAGGAAAGATTATTCTTAAGGGACAAAAATGAATAGGTAAAAACTTCTAAATTGCTACGAAAATTGCTATAGTATTTCTTTCTTGAGAGGAAGCCCCTTTTTACATGGCCATTGGCCTTTTATTTATACATAGAGAAACGACATTAAACTGAATAATTAAGTACAATTATTCCTTCTTAAATGTGTCCGTTTTGATTCTTCGACTTTAATGCTCAACGTTTGAATTTTGAGTTGACTCTGATCTTCATGGGCCTCGCCTTTTTGGCCCAAGTATCCTTGAACTGACTTACCCGTGTCTTCTACACCGAACTCGTGCCACAGTGCAGTCACTTCGGATTCTCGAAGTGGTGATAACCACTTCGACCGTTCCTTCGGCTCATGGGTTCAATGGGCTTTGTCCTTTATAGGCCATTACCTTGACTACGTGGCAATCTTTGGTTGGTGGACTTCTGGTGCGGGATCCGACACCAACAATTAGCCCCCCAAGTTCTTCGAAGTGTCATTCCAATTCGGAGGACTTTAAATGCTTTAAATGACCAAAGATTGCGCTCGAGAATCTTCCTGATTTCCCGCCGAAAATCTCATCACTCCTTTAATTCCGGCACTAACCATTTTTACCCGATTGACATCTGTCATCATTATGACCGTATATTAATTAATTACTATTAAAACGGGAAAAAACCTTCCCACTTCCCACACAACTTCCGAGGAGGTTTCATCATTAGCTTGAGGTAACTTCTTTTCACCATTACTCTCTTCTTTTACTTTTGCGCTTTAATCAAAACCTCTCTCTACTTTTCTTCACAAAACCTCTCTTCGCCGGATCTTGAATTTTTCATTTTTCTCCGATGACTTCTGATTCCGAGAGACCTGAATCTCCTTCTTACGACGAGAGGCGCTCTAGTAATGATGAATGCACTCGTCCTAACGATATTGCCGGTCCTCATTACAAATCCACCTGCACTCTTTAGTCCCTTGAGCGATTAAAGGGGCTCTGTCAAATTCCTCTTGAAATCATAGCGGAGGCGCAAATAGCCGACCCTACGGAATCCCCGGAGAACCACCGTGTCGGCTACTTTTGTGTTTACGAAATTTACTTCAAAGGCTGCGGATTGACCTTCCCCCTTCCCGAAGCCCTAGTTCGATTCTTGGCGGCTCTCGAGATTGCCTTACCTCAATTAACCCCCAATCTCCTCCGTACCATCCTCGGGATTATAACCGTTGCGGCGGAGGCTGGCTACGTCATTGGAGTACCCGAGCTGAATGAACTTCTAAGTGTGAGAAGTTCGTCAAAGAAAACAAGATACTTCTCGGCATACCCGAATGCCAATAGAAACGTCATTTCGCACCTCCCGAACAAGGATGAAAACTGGCACCATCCTTGGTTTCTGATTAAGAAAACTCCTGCTTCGATTGGGAATCTTTCCGATGTACTCCCATCGAAGAGGTCTACGAAACCTGGTAGAGACTAGGTCGTATATTCCTTTCCTGTTCATTATTATTTCTTTACTGACCAAATTCGTTGTTTCATTTCGCAGCTCTCATCGCTTCAACTCTCCCGACCGAAGAATTTGTCAAGTTCTTCAAAACAATCCTCGAAGGGGAAACCCTTTGGAATTCTTTCACCCTTGACCGGTTTGTCGAGGCCAACCGAAAACTCAGGATGAGCCCTCCCAATCTACTTCATCGTCTTCCGCCTCCTCCCTCAACTCAGGGAATGTCAGTTCGGGCCCTCGCTGCCCAGCGTAAGAAACTCTCCAAGCCGATAGCAGAGGCTTGTGATGAAAACAAGGCGTTCCTTGCGGCCGCCATCGACAAAAAAGATTACAGCAGGACCCTGCTGGTTGATGACAACAGCTCCGAGGGAGCCAGATCCGTTGCTGCTTATAGGTTAACACCTCGTCGCGAACGCCGCGACGAACGTTCTTCTCGGAGAGAGCGGTCTCCTCGTCGTGATTCTCCTCGTCCTCCCCGAGACGATTTCAGCAACGAACCACTTAAGAATTTGGTTCGTAAGAAGAGGGACAAGTCGTCCCGTGATGACTCGTCTCGGCGAAGGGAGAAATCAAGGGCCCGGACTGACCGTTCACCTCGATCATCCCCTCCTACTGAACCAATGGGTCCTCCCCGACCAGTTGACATGTCTTCTTCTTCCCAGCCGGTCAGCGAAAAGACTGCTCGGAGTGCATCCCCTAAAAGGGGAGATTCTGAATCTCGAGATGCTTCCTCGAGGTTGAAGCCTGCTCTTGTCCCTCAAGTCAAATCGCTTTCAGGTTTGGTGACTTACACATACTTAAACTTTTTGTCTCTATTAAAATTCCAATTTTTACCACTCTTCCTTCTTCGCAGCTATGGAGAAAGAAGGCAGCGTCTTCCGATGCTTCAAGACCCGATCGGGTTCGATCTTGCCAGACTTCAACAAATGGCGCCCTGCGATTCGTGAACGCTATTTGCTTCACGCTTATCATTCATCTCGGGTTAATTCCGTTTTTTTTTTTTGTTGTTTTTTTTTTATGTATTGCCATTCTTCAAACTGACTCGCCATCCCGGGTTTATAATGCCAGGCTCATAGCGAACTTAACGATATGATCGAACATTACGAAGGGTTGGTCATTGGACGGGAGAAGGAGATTGACATGTGGAAGAAGAAATTCTCAGCTCTTGAGGCTGAACTCAATTCTTCTGCTGGCTCCAAGCAAGATCTGGAGGACAAGGTCGACAGTTTAACATCCGAGCTGGCGCAGGTAAAGGGGAAGCTGCAAGACTACTACGACCGGAATTACAAACTCCAGGACAAACTTTCTGGTGTTCAGGGTAGACTTCATGAATCCGAATCAACCGCCGATACCCTGAACAACCAACTTATCGAGCTTGACGCGAAGTACAAGGCGCTAGCCAAGTTGCGTGATTCCGAGTTAGCAAGGTCGGCATCGAAGGCCAGAAAGGAGGTTAAGGGACGCGGGATGGAATTGATCCAAGGGGCCATTCGCTTCATGCAAGCCGAGAAGGCTAGGTCGGACTTGGAGTCAGACATCAAGGAGCATGAAAGCAACCTGATTCTGCTGGATCAAATCCATGAAGCAGATTTCTCCGAGGAGCAAGAAAGGACCGAGCTGTCAACTAATCTTTCTGAAAAACGGAGTCGCTTGGCAGCTCTTCCCACTTCGACCTTCAACCCGCTTGACTTCGAGGAATTCTTTACTGAATCACCTCCTATAAGTGAATCGGGTTTAGACTGGGCAGGTAACGCTTGGCTCCTGACGCTTACCTTTTCTTACCTTGTACCTTTGATTGACTGGAATTATTATTTCTAGGCTCAAGTGAGACGGAAGACGTTGTCCCGCCCGTAGCTCCTATGGTACCGGAGGTCACTCTGGAGGTTGGTTGTACCGCGGAGGGTGGTCAGGGAGCTTCATCTGATCAAGCTGAGCCGGGATCCGAGGTGGAGGTCAATCCGTAGTGGCTGTGTCCACTTTAAACTGGGGATTGTCCCAATTAGTTTAAACTCAATTTCGAACTTGTTTTTGGCCTAAGGAGGCTTTATAATTTCTTTTGAACTAGATATTTGCCTGAGGAGGCTTTTAAACCTTTCTAGGTTACGACCCAAGGGGGTTTGGTTAAAATTATATGCGGGTTTGCAAAGTCCGCTTTTAACCTTTTGTGGCCTTGTGGTTATGCTTTCGAGATTTTTAGGCTGATCAGACCTTTCTCTTTAGAATGCGAGAGCTGAGCTCGGCTTAAAGCGAGTTCCCCACTTCGGGTTTAGTCAACTCGATAAATTTATTGGGCTTGGGCCTTAGAAACTTTTGTAGTTAATGCGACGGTTGCTCTTTCCCTTCTTAAGGAAAACGGCTCGTCTTTTAATGCAATAACTGCCTTTTCTCGATTTTCCAAAAATGGTTTAAACCACTCGGACACTCTACCATTAATGGATTTATGGTTCCAAGACAAACCCTAAATCATTATAAATAAAGGCTTACCTACCTCCAAGCTTTATTTAACTACGTTTTTTTTTTTTTTAGAGTCTTACTTGAGTAATTTGCGAGAATGGAAAACGAAAAAGTAGCCCCCATTGATCCCGGCAGCCCACTCTTCTTGTCCGGCGACGGCTTTGAACCGGCCGGCGTTCTCTTCCCTCACGCCGTCTTTCACTTTCCTTCAAAGGAGAAGAAAGAGGCTTGCGATTTTATTGACAAGGTAAATATTTGAAGTTTTTTGATTCAAAAACTTTTTGTTTCATCTTATTCACTCATCGTTATGCTAGGTCGCCGACAAGCACCGTCGCTTGTGTGAAGAGAGGCAGCGGCTGGGCCTCAAAAGGCAAACACTCGAGGCTCGCATTGCTCGGGTGGAAAGGAAGATACGGGCCTTGGAAAGTGACCCCTTTCAATGGGAGTGGCGGAACTTCGACTCCGTCGCTGAGATCCCGAAGATGCTTCGGATGTATCTCCGCGCTAAAGGAGTCCCGGGTCCCGTGAACGCCCCCGTCTGCGCCGTTCCATCTGACAGCGAAGAAGAAGACGAAGAGGAAGCCAGCACCTGTCGGAAACGCGTTCGGGATCATCCCGAAGTGGATGCCAAGAACAAGGCGTCCACTTCGAAGACTAAACCGGCGATGAAGGAGCCTGTTCCTGAGCCTCTTCCATAAATGTCTTCTAACTTTTTACTTACTTTAAACTCGTAATGGGCTTCGGCCCCTTTTTATTTATGGAAACATTCTCGACTTTCCTTTCTTTTCAAATATTCTCGGAGATACGTCTTTTAATGCAGGATCTGTTCGAGGGCATAAATCTCTCCGCGAATCACTCCATTCTTTGGATAGAATCCGCAACTTGCTAAGGATATGGGGTTCCTATAAATAATAGTTTTAATTTCCCTTTACTCCTCACCATTCTTTTTATTTTAGTAGGTATGGAGTTCAATCTTCGCTGTTCAGAATCTATGCCTGACTTCTCCAGAAT